CTCCCATCCCCGCCTCCTCCCTTGGCTGAAGCGCATGATGCTCTTTGAGGGGTGAGAGGTCATAGGTTGGGGGTGGGAAAGGCAACCACTTCCTCTTTCCCTCCCACTGCTGTGCAGGGCTGGGCCCGCTGTCCCACCCCATCCCCAGTGCCAGCCGGTGTTTCCCTAACTCTACACACTCATTTTGGTCCCGGACTCAGGCCCTTGAGATACTGCTGGGTCATAGGGTAGTTCTAGTTTTGATTTTTTTGAGGCACCTCCATCCCGCTTTCCAGATGGCCCTCGATTTCCTCCTCAACCTGTTTCTGTTGCTTTGTTTTCAGTTTCCTCATCAGGCGCATGGCCTCACCATCTGCCCAGGTGCTCGAGCCAAGAGCTCGGCTTTCGTGACCCTTCCTCCTGCTCTCCTTCCTGCGGCCCCATCTCCTGAAAATCCCATGGCTTCCTAGTTTTGATGGCCTCTCATCTACCTCCCTGATGGAGGGATTCTTGCCCTGGGGCTAAGGGGGTGGCCGAACACAGGACATCCCACACTGGACAATTGAGATGTCCAGAGGCCATTCCCGGGGCCGAGCTCTGTTCCTGGAGAGGAGCGGCAGTGGGAGGAGGCCCAAAGCTCTCCTGGGCTGTGATCTGCCTCCTCAGTCGGTCAGCCCGGGAGCCAGAAAACTGCCCCACCACCAGCTGCTTCCCACTGGCCGAGGGGGTGGCGGTGGCTGTCTTACTACCAAATGGCTCTCAGGACATTGCCGATTAGGCCCTGTCGATGAAGGCGTTGGTGTTTGCCGAGCAGGACATTAAATGACAATGGAAACCAGCTAAATCAGCTCGGTGGAAACACAGTGTGGAAGATACTCCGCTTTATTAGACTCAGCCTGGCTCTTCTCCCAGAAAAGCATACGGGGAAGTGGATGCTTGGCTAGCTTAATTAAACCAAACGACAATACACATCTTCTGAGCTGCGTGGGGAAAGGTCTTTGGAGACAGACAGACAGACGGGTCCAGGCCTGGCTTTGCTACATGTTTTCTCTGTGATCCTGGCAGTCGTACGCGTTTCTTTGAAGAAGAGGCCTCTGAATGAGTGCTGCACCCTGTCTGTGCCGGTGCCGGACGGGGAGAGGCTGGGGCCCGCTCTGGGCACAGGCTCCGTGCTCACCACCTTGAGTGACAGTCCTTAGGGGACTGTCAGCTCTTCTCTGCTTCCATGCCCTCCAGGTGATCAGGAATGCCTCTCAAGAACCCCAGCGACCGTCACGGGAGAGAGATCAGCGCAACACGGCTGCAGTGGTGATGAGGACACGTGTGTTTCAAAGAGCCGAGTTGCAGCGCCCTCCACTAGGGAGTCTCCCCAGGGACAGCCGGGCGGAGCCTTCCGCCCCGGCCCCGTGCCACCCCGGTCTGGCCAGCGCCTTGGCCCACACCGGGCCTTCCGCAGGTGGAGAGGTGCCCGCTCCTGGCCCCGGGGCTGCACTGCGGTCACACTTTAGTGAACTCTGTCATCTGTGCTGGCTTAGCTGCGGTGATGTCCTCAGTGCCAGGAGCAGTGACCCAGACTGACGGGGTCAAGGTCTTTCCAGCCCCGATCAGCAGAAGGGCAGCCCCGAGGAGGAGCCCATCGCGTCTCCCGAGCCTAGGGCGGAGCCGCCTAAGAGGCCCGTTCTCAGACCCTCTGAGAGGTGACACAGGTCAGGATGTGCGTTTCTCACCCTGCCCTGGTTTCCGGTTTGCCTGTTCGGTTCTGGTGTGACACAAATATCTGATAGCCGTTCACTTGGCCTAACTGGAAGTGGGGATCACTGAGCCCGAACCACTTCTGTAGTCACACGGGCCTTCCCCAGCGAGCGAGGGCCCCGGAAACAGCGCTTTTCAGGTGACTGAGCCCGGGTCTCCACCCCGACACCGAGGCAGAGGCATCACTGACACTGAAGGTAGGAATTGTATGCTAAGCTCGTGACTTCCGCAGACCTTTGCTCCCTCTCATGCTCTGTGCTTTGTCCCGTGTGACGTCACCTAGTTGTATATGCTGCAGCCAAAAGCTGCATCCAACACCCCCAGTGTCCGAGGGGAAGGAAGATGCGAGAATCTCCAGCCTGCGCTCCAGGCAGTGGAGAGGTCACAGCTGGCCTCTCATTCCTCCTCCTGGGATGGAAAGGGGGGCTTGTGGAGGGGAGCTGCGGGAGGGGGCCGTGCCAGGGGGCAGGGATGCCAGGTGAGCTGACGCCCTGGCCTTCCCCTGGCGCTTAGCTGCTCGCTCTGCAGAGAGGGGCCCATTTTCCTCTTTTGCTCTTCACTCCGTGGAGTTGGGTTAATCAGCTTTAGACACATGGTTCATTTTGGAAAACAGGCTTTAATCGTTTGGAAAGAGGCTTCCAGACCTTCTTTTGGGAATGAGACAAAAACCTGGGTGCCTGGCAGGCCTGTCTAGGTGAGTGTGCTCGGGAAGCCACCGAGAGGCATTTATCTCTGCTCTTCTTTGTATCGGTGACTGAGAAAACAACCCTGATGCTGTAGATGCGTCGCACGCCTCCCTGCAGGAAAAGGCTTGCTTTATCTGGAAACTTCCACTGCATCCAGGAGCAAATCTGCATCAGAGCAATTTGCTATTTTCTGCTCCAGGGACTGAAAAGCGGACACAGCTTGAGCCTTAGCTGCTTCCACTGGGTATCCTTGCCACTGGAACACATATATTGTTTTATTTTCAAGATTCCAGCAGGAGGGGAATTGGCCTTTAATAGTTTAGCTGCAATATGGTAAGTATGGACTTCTAGAACAGGGTCATTAGGGTTTCTCAGCCTCGGCACTGCTGACATTCGGATTGGATAATACCTTGTGGTGGGGGCTGTCCTGTGGATTGTCAGGTTTTTAGCAGCATCCTTGGCCTTTGCTCCCTAGATGCTACTCACTAGCATCCCTCCCAAACCCTCAGTTGTGACAACCAAAGATGTCTCCAGACATTGCCAAATGTCCTCTGAGGGCAACATCGCCCCCAGGTGGGAAGACTGTTCTAGAGATGATGAACTTCGTTATCAGAACTCTAAGCACAGTCCATGTTCTCAAACCATCGCTAGTTAAAGAATGACACAAGTCAGTTTCTGGCAATTTGTACAGAAACAGCCTTTGTGCTACAAAAAGTCGGGCTCTCTCTTTTAGGTGACCCTTGGCAGCGCGGATGACAATGCGGAAATGCAATCAAAAAGCTCATTCAGGGCTTCTGGGTAGAGTTCCAAATCCCCCAGATTATATCAGTTCATTATGTCCTATCGTGCTGGGTCTTTTCCAGGTGACAAATTGGATTTTTTTGAAAGCACAGCAGTTGGATTTATAATAATATTTAGGATTAAAGGGGAAGATGAGAAAAATTTTATTTTCTCGTCTTAAGCGCCCTCCCTTAATTGAATTTTAGAAAGTCTGTTTGGAAGAGGAAGTTTAACGTCAGACAAAATGTCGAGACGTTTGGATGCTTCAACGTGGTCAAAGTGAAAACAGATCCCAGATGCTTTGAAGGTCTCAAGAAAAATGAGCATCGATGAATTCATGTGATGATTTGTTCATTTCATGTGTCAACTTGGCTAGGCCAGTGCCCAGATAGTTGGTCAAACATTACTAGGCCAGTGCCCAGATAGTTGGTCAAACATTATTCTGGATGTTTCTGTGAGGGTGTTTTTGGTTGACATTTATATTTAAATCAGTGGGCTTTGAGTGAGGTACAGTGCCCTCCATAACGTGGCTGGACCTCATCAAATCAGCTGATGGCCTTTAATAGAACAAAGACTGACCTGATCCTGTCCCTGTTTCCGAGTAAGAGGGAATTCTATCAGTAGATGCCTTTGGACTTGAATTGCAACACTGGCTCTTCTCTGGGTCTCCAGCTTGCTGGCCCACCCTGTAGATTTGGGACTTGCCAGCTTCCAGAATCACGTGAGCCAGTTCCTTAAAACAAATACCTATCTACCTACCTACCTTACCTACTATTCACATCCTATTGGCTGTTTCTCTGGAGAACCCTGGCTAATATAACTACAGAAGAGAGAAATCCAAGTACTCAAAGTTTCCTGGTTAACTGTCACCACCCACTCAGCCTGTTTTTCAGGAACATATGGTATAGACGCGTCCTGGGAGGGTTACGCAATGCCTGGTTTTGTTTTGTTTTGTTTTGATACTGCAGAGGCCAGCAGGATGCCAGGTCTTGGGGGGGAAAAGGTTTACTTTGGGTTTGTAAGAAGAAGCATTTAAGCAGCACAGCAGATGTGAAGTTGGAAAAAGCTGCAGAACAGCAGAAGAGCGCCATGGTGCCGGGGCAGGTGGCAGATGTTTTCAAAATAATTAATTAATTAAAAACCTGCTGGGTCTGGCAGAGTCTCCCCCCCACCAGACCCTCTCGCAGCCCTGACCAGTTTTGCTCCCTGGGCTCATGTGCATCCACACCGAGCTTGTGGAAAGAACTGGGACCGACAGGCAGCAGTACTGCTCTGCTTCGGGCATGTGCTCGCGTGCACAGGAGTCAGCATTCCAGATCACATCACATCCCAGGTCCTCGCCTGGCCAATGAGGGACCTCCCAGCCCAAAGCTGGGATTTGATTCTGTGATCTGTGACCTCAAGTTTGAATAGTTGTGATTATTTTTGTATTCTACTCATACAGGTTACAGGAGACCTTTAGAGAAAAGCAAACGTCTTGTCAAAAGCTGCTCAGAGCGACCCTGAGCTTCCTGCTAGTAATTCCTTCCTAAGTCTGCTCCCAAAGGACCCCCAGCACAGGGCCAGCTGCTAGGCCCAAATAAGATGCTTTAATCAACTGCCTTAAGCCTTTCCATTTTAGGACATTTTAAAGTAGATGATTAGACTCGAGGTGCCACATGTCCAATAGTTTGACTTTGTGTCTGTGAAACAGTTTGTGAAAATACCCATCATGCATGAATGTCTGTGTTTCTATAGAAACCATCTGGCAACCCTAGTAAAATGTAAAAGAAAAATCTCTGAAATGTAAGAAAAAGCAAACCATGAGAAGAAATGCAGGGGCTTTATTATAATCAGTATTATTCTTGAAGTTAACAATTGATACACTCATTCAGGAAAACATTATACTTTCAATGACCTGAAGCCCACAGGTACAAGCCAGATGCAGCTACAAGTACACGAAATACGCCCCCTGGGAAACAGCATGGCGCTTCTGGCTGCAAAACCAAGTGTCAACAACGCATCTGAATTTCTGTAGCGGAGGGTGCAATGGTCTGCACAGGCCTGACCTAGAGCTGCCTGCTCTCAGCATCCCTTCTGAGATGCCAACTCTGGGAGGTGGGGGTGGGGAGCTGCTTGCTCTGTGTGTCTCACCACAGTGCTGCCCACCAAGTGTACCTTTCCAAAAGCCAGCCTCAGTGTATACCAACCTCTCAGAAATTGAGAAATACCAGATGTGATCATATGGTACCTTGAAGGTTAGACGCCAGCTTCCTCAAGTCCGTGGGGCAGGAAACCAAACACTGCCTTCAGAATGCCAGCGTGGTGCTTCTCCCTCGGGGGAGGGCAAGGTGGGCCTGACTAGGTCTGCGCCACTTCTACCAGTCGCAGCCATGGATTTGATAACGGTATTGAGAGGATGGTGGGGTGCACGCTGCTCACAGCACAGTGCTAGCCTGCGGCAAAAGCCACTGTTGGCCAGTGGGGTGGTAGGGGCCGTGCCCTCTCCAAGAGCATCTGCTTGGGAAGATCTGAACATCTCAGTGAAGGAGCCCTTTGGCTTTTCAGAAAAGTAGGGCACTCCACAGCCGAGAGCCAGAGAGCAGTCTAGGGTGGCTCTGGGAAGGAAACGCGTGCAGAAATGGGACCATCTGATGTGCCCAAGTGAACGTGGGCCAGGCAACTGTGCACTCAGGCAGAAGGAATTCTGGACAGTTGGACTGATTGACAAGAGGCTTTTCTAGCTCAAATGGGCTGTGGTATTTCTAGCTTTCCCAGGGAGACAAAGGGCAGGTTTTGGCCTGGTTCTCTATGTATTCAATTCTCCCTCAAGGCATTCTATGCTCTTGCTGTGGAGTTCCAGAATTGCTATACATCTACGTGGTCAGTGATCACTTCCATAACTCAAAACTGCTACAGAGGTGAGTAATGACAAATGCAGGTCTGCCTCAATTTCTCTGGCATAGCCTGTCTCAATGGCAAGGCAGTGCCGGACTTGGGACCCACACTGAGATCTCATTCCAGAAGTACTATCTTTGGGCAAACGACCTACATTCTAATTTTTCAGCAAGATGACTCCTGGAATAAAAGAGCCATTTTAGAGATGCAAGCTTTTCTTTCATTGTCCTGGTACTGCCTGGTGTCACCCTGCACAGGGACCCCTTGTCACACAGGGAGTGACATTCAGGGTTTCTGTGGTCTGTTTTAAGTCTTTCTGCTCTTTCTGAAACCCATCCCTGTAATTAACAGCTGCATTTCTAATGCTCCTGTGGGTTTGAAGATTTTAATGCCCTAGTACTAAAAAGCATGAAATGATTGAGTTTTCCCCCTAATCCTACTCTAACCCTCCCAAATTTGTGCCCTCTTGTTTTAGGGACCACGGGCAGGAATTTTAGCCAATGGCTGAAACAGATCTAAAGTTAAACCCTGAGCAACTTCATTTTGCTCAGGGCTCAGCAAGTTCTGCTAATGGCACAGTGACCTTCAGTCACTGAACAGGACTCCCTGGGGACAAGGTTTGGGGTCTGTTTCTAGCTTCAATATGGAAATGTAAGGCAAAGAAAGGGTGCTTTGCTTTGCCTTAGATTTCCCAGTGGAAAAGTGTTTGGAAGAAAATGCAGTTCACTTTGCTGGGGAAATACCAAATGCCGGGAACCAGGCACGGCTGGGGAGGGTGCTGGTCCTCGCTGGTCACTTGCGAGGCTGCTGGATGTGCTGGGTTCTTGGGGATGAATGCTTGTCTATGGAGGCATGGGGCTTCTGGTGAGCCACCTGGGCAGCCGCCGGGGGGAAGTCTTTGTCACCCTGTGGGAGACATAGAAGGAAAGTCTGGGTTCATCAACACTGAATAGCTGGGTTTGTGCAGGAGCAAGGCCCCAACCCGGGTTCACCGTGTCCCTGCAGCACAGGTGATGGAATGGGCAGGCAGAAGCCTATCTCCTGGGGCTGTGGGAGTCCTGAAGCTCTCTGGGGAGCTAAGGGGCACCGAGGGCCAGGTACCACCCAGGTGAGGACGCTCGCTGTCTCTGTCCCCACACCATGTGACTCACTGGGAACTAAGTGTGTTTGGGTCTTTCTTCTGCTAGAACTGCTCTTATAATCTTTTGAACTAGGGGCCACACAGAACCAAATCCAAGGTCTTAAATTCAGATTTGCCGCCACAGCTGAGAGCTGGGAAGGAAACACAGGGCAGGGCTGAAGTGTGAGATAGCACCTGACTCGATCTGCCGAGACTCAGAGAAGGTACTGGCTGTTTTCAGGGAAAATCACTGTGTGCCAACTGTGCCTGTGTAATAGGAGCAGGGCCCATCCACCCTGGGCAGGCTGGAGCATGGCTGCTCTGGCTGAGCCAACTGGCCATGCTTGACCTCAAATTTGTGTCTGCATTTAATTTTCTCACAAGTAGTAAATGTGCCACTCGTCTGTCCCAGCATCTCTGGATGGCTGTGGTGAGCTGTCCCTGGCAGTGACATTTTTTTGCACACCATATGCTAAGTCCTCAGATGTACTGTGAGCCACAGAAATGTGGGTGGTGTTAGTGCGTCCCCCTCACAAAGGGAGTTAGCTGTTGGGAGGTCCGTAGTTACAAAATGCTGGGTCTCACCACAAGAGGGGGCTCTTGAAATGTAAAGAGTATGATGAACACCCTTGAGTTTAGTCCAGGGGTTGGCAAGCATTTTCTGTCATGTCAGAGAGTAAATATTTCAGGCGTTGAGACTCATACTCTCTGCCTCAAATATTCGGTTCAGCCACTGCAGCCTGAAAGCAGTCACAGGTGATGCATACTTGCTGGGCGTGGCTGTGTGCCACAAAAACTTCACCCATGCACACTGAAGTCTGAATTGCATATACTTTTCACATGTCAAGACACAGAATTCTTATTTAAACTTTTTTCAACCATTTAAAAATGTAAAAATTCTCAGCTCACAGGTCTTCCAGAGGCACTTGGCCCGTGGGTAGCTGTGACCCCGCCGAGGAGTCTAAAGAGAAGGGAGACAGGTGAGGGAAGAGGAGAGGCAGCTGCTCCGCTCCCGCTGTGTGCTCCATGTCGTCACACTTCCTAATTCCTCACTATATGCTCCATGGACAGGAGATGACAAAGCAAAGACACAAGGGACCCAAAGACCGCATGCTGAGGCCTGTGTGATGAAGGCTCTTACCCGGGCGATGACACCAGAGATGAACACAGTGGGTTTCGGTGGACTGCAAGACAAGAGGGGAAAAGAAGATTTAGCAGAACAACTCAAAAGGGGACTGTGGCAGGCGCTGACAGGGTGGGTGAGGTTAGTTTGTTGTTTTTTAAGTATATCTTTATTGATTTCAGAGAGAGGAAGGGAGAGGGAGAGAGAGATAGGAACATCCATGATGAGACAGTCATTGATCAGCTGCCTCCCGCACGCCCCCACTGGGGATCGAGCCCACGACCCGGGCATGTGCCCTGACCGGGAATCAAACCCCGATCGCCTGGATCCTAGGTCGATGCTCAACCTCTGAGACATGCCTGGCTGGGCGGATGAGGTTAGTTTTAAGGGAGGGGAATAAGCAATGGCTGAGGAGGGATGAGGAAGAAGGAAGCAAGTCTCTTCCTCAGTATTATTTCGTCACAACCAGCAGCTGACAGCTGGGCTCAGGATACCTGTGGAAACCGCCCCCCCTTCCCCTGCATCCCCAGGTGAGGTCAGGCAAAGGGTGAGAGAGGAAAACAGATTGTAGCAACAGCAGGTGAGTTGCTGGAAAGCACTTTCTTTTTGTTTTTGTTCTTTGGCTCATCCTCAGTTTGTAACTATGGGCAAGCCCAGTGGTTTTGGTTTCAGGAGATTACAGACATAGACACTTCTTGAAGCAGTAAATCAGGTCACACTGGATGAACTCAGAGACTAACTCCCTGTCCTGTAGGCTGAGGGTCCCCTTCCACAAGTCTTGTGGAGCCCATGGCTTCCAACGGCTTCTAACGGGTGAGCTCCCAGAGCCAATGCGAAGCTCCTGGCCCCAATGGGACGCCAAATAGTAGAAATGTAAGGTCCTTCTGAAGCTATGGTCATTTTTAACATCTTATATCATACTGAGCTTGCCCATTGTCACCAAAACTGAGGGGATGGACACAGGACCAAAGTAAGACATGTTCATTGTTGAGAAACAGACAAACCAAAACATGTTACAATCACCTGTAGTTCTACCACCTGGAGCTCTCACTGTTAACATGTTGGCTATCCTTCCAGTCTATGGATAGGTGGACACTCTCGTTTTATTAAATTTCTTTTGTTTTTCTTACAAAAGAGTCATACTGTTTTGTAATCTGCTTTCTATACCTCCATGTTATTATATGCTCTTCTATGCATTTTTAAATGGCTGCACATGTCATAGTTTTAAAATGTCAGAATGTACAGTGCTAAGCAGTACACAAGGGCACACATTTCCACAATGGCCTGAGCAGAGGTAAGGAAACCTGGGAGCAGCAGGTGGTAAGGCCAGCCCGGCAGGGAGAGTGTGACGGGGCAGCTTGAGGAGGCAGGCAGATGTGCTCAAGGCTGGTCCTGCTGGGCAGAAAGAATGGGACCCATTCGTGAGCTGCCCCACTTGCCTCCCGCCAGCTCTGCTGCTGGTCCTTCCAAGGCAACTGCTTGCCTTAGCTTGTGTTGCTGCAGGCAAAAGTCCCGTGTTCAGAAAGGTTGCTGTTTAAATCCCAAAGAGTTGAGCACAAACACCCAAAATTCCAAGTAACTTCTGTTACTCCATGAGATTAAGAAACCTCGTCTTCCTGAGCAGCACAGAAACGTCCCCGCTTGACCATGGTTTTATTTAGCATTTGTTGTGTGGTTAACTGACTTGGATTTTTTCCTTCTACACAAATATGATTTGGCCACAGGATCAATGGCCAGGCAGAGGTGAATGAGCTCAGCTCAAGGGTAAACCCCTCTTGTAGAATGTCTGGATTTGTTTGCATCGAAACATACCTTCAGGGACTGCCCCACAGCACCCACACGGGAAGTCCGCCAGGGTACTCATGCTGAGCGTTTTGCATCCAAAGCTTGGGAAAGGTGTTCTGGATTCTCATATGGTATAAATGTTTTGGAAATAAATATGGAAATGGTAGCACAAACATTTCTTCACTGTTGAATGTTCCTTTAAAAATATAGGAGGAGCCTGAAATAGGGATAGTTCTGTTCTGACAACTAATTACACAGCATCACCTTCTACTAAGGCCCAGTCATCTGTAGGAGCGCGTGACCACTTCCATCATCTCCACTTTTTATTGGTTTTGTAACCTAAGTCTGGGCTCTGAAGGCAGAAACAGAGACACTCCCTCCTAGCCAGCGAGGTAGAGAGTGAATCTGGTCAGAAGAGATACACAATAGAGATGAGCTCCTCCCCACAGTGAGCCCTGAAGGCTGGCGGAGGAAGCTTGGGTCATTTTATACATGTGTGTATACATATATACACACACACACACATATATAAAATATATATCCTCTCTCTACATATACACACACACACAATGTTCAATGTATTGTTGAAAAGCAGACAAGCAAAGAAAGCTAAAATCACTTCTAATTCTATGTTACTATGTGTATAAAACACACACAGTTATGCACAGAACTGAACTATAAATAATTGTAACTAAATTAGCAGATTATGCTCTAAGGAGGTGGTGCGGCTGGCTCCTGGGAGAAGAGGTGGTCCTGTTGCAGGCAGAACACCAGCCTGCAGTGGCCACCACAGTGGTCTGTTCCCAGCACCTGTTCCCCTCTGTGTGCGTGGAGAAAGGGTCTCCAGACCTCAGAACCCTGTCATCAGGAATCACACTTTCACCCGACGGCCTCAGTGTGCCTCAGAGGTGACCCTCCCCACTCCAGCTCTGGGTGTTTACTATGTTAAACGCAACAAGGCTGGGTTCTAGGTCTTGACTCGAGTATGACTCTCCTCGCTTGACCCCACGCTCTGACTCATCAGTACTTAAGCTATTGAGTTTGGAGGGGTTTTTGGATTCTGCTCATCAAAGGACAGTATACTAGAGAAAATCCTGTTGGACTCAGAGTAAAGGAAATAGCCCTGTGGATCCAGCATGTCGGAGAAGAGGTTCTTGCTGCAAGAACGCACCATTTTTGTATTTTTTTAAAACCACATAAAAGAATTGTGCTGTACCTGCAAAGTCTCATCCACACTGGAGGGGAGACTCCAGCCTGTGTTAGCTCTGCTAAATGACCTTCCTACAGAGTACAAACTCCCTCCTCCTTTCCAAGTTTGCTTCAAACCCCAGCTAGCTCAGCAACTAATTAACATTTTTAAAAAATTTACTGTTTAAGCCATTTTAAACTGTACAATTCGGTGCCATTAAGTACATTCATATTGTTATACAACCATCACCACAATCCATTTCCAGAACTTTTTCATCACCCTTAACAGAAACTCTACCTCATAAACAATAAACCCTGGTAACTGCTGTTCTACTTTTTGTCCTGAGAATTCAACTAGTCTAGTACCTCATATAAGTGGAATAACACAATGATTGTCCTTTTGTGTCTGGCTTATTTCACTGAGCATAGTGTCTTCAAGGTTCATCCATATTGTGGCATATGCCAGAATTTCCTTGCTTTTGTAAGGCTGAGTAGTATTCCATTGTGTGGATAGACCACACTTTGTTTATCTGTTCATCTGCGGTGGACACCTGAGTTGTTTCCGTCTTTTGGACTATTGTGATTAATGGCTCTGTACATGGGTGTACCAGTATCTGAGACCCTGCTTTCAATTCTTCCAGAGGACCTCAGAGTGGAATTGCTGGACCATGTGTTAGTCCTATGTTTAATCTGAGGAGCCGCCATGCTGATTTCCATGGCATTCTCACCATTTCAGACTCCCACCAGCAATGAGCAGGGTTTCGATGTCTCACATCCCCACTTACACTTGTTATTGTCTTTTTGATGGTAGTCATTCTAATGCATGTGAAGTGGTATCTCACTGTGGTTTAGATTTAGCACATACATTTAATAAGCTTCTCTGCATCAGGAAATAATGAATATCAATCTGTACTGATCGTTCATTCAAGGTCTTTATGACACAAACTCCCCTCACCCCAAAGTTGTCTTCTCTTCTCTAAAACTGAAGAGGCTGTAACCCATGGAGAGGGTCAGGGCAGCCCCAGTGCGTAGCAGACAGGCAGCTGGCTTCTTGTGTAACACTGATAGTGATGCCTGTTTCCACACGGCTCTCACTCTGGAGGAGTGTGTGCTGCAGCGCACGTTTCCATCAGCTTGGCCAAGGGCCCTGAGCTCACTGCCTTTTCCATTTACAATTAATAGCATCTCAAATTGATAAACATTTATTACGTTTACACAGTAAGAACTCTCAACTCCTTGAGCTACGGTAGCTTAAACCCAAATTCACAAACAAGAAACCCTGGTAAAGCGTCTGCTTGCAAAGCTGTGTTTGCAAAAACATGCGTATCTCAAATTCCATTAGGGCTCCATGCAAAGCATAACCTACATTTCCAAGATTCTAGAAACTGTGATCACGGCTTTGAGGATTTATTTAATCTGATGAAAATCATTCTGACAGCTGTTGTTTTAAAGATGCAACATTACTTTCTCTCAGGAAACAGAGTGAAAAATATCGCTCCTGCCCTCCCCCATCCTCAGGCCTCTCGTTTTAAAAACCACACTTATTTAAAATTAAAGAAACTACGAGTGAGGCAGAATTAGTGGGGATTAGAGCTAGGTAACACTTCCTGTACATCAATGGAAACTGCAGCTTCGTCACACCTGGCCTGAATGGCCCGAGTGTTTGATCCACGCAGGTTTCCAGGGTTCCCCTGTTAAGGACCATGCCAAAGTCTTACTAGGGTCATCTGTCCTGAACAAACATTTCCTATAATTTATTATGTAAATTTCCTCGACAGATAAGGTTTATGCCTTATTGACATTCCAGACAGGCTGGATTAAAATGCCAGAAAATGATCTGTGAATGCCTGGCCCTGGGGGAAGGCAGATGTCCTCAGGACCAATTTGACGATCTCATCTTTAAATGGAAATCCTCAGGGCTGAGAAACGGAATTCATATTTATAAATGTCCCCTGAACTCTAAAACAGCAATTATTGAAATATATGTCAATATATGTTATTCAACTCAACATACCTAAAACACTACCAGTCCAACATGTAATCAGTAGAAAAATTACTGGCATCACAGAACTTGGCATTTTTGTTTGT